TTTTACAATAATGCAGTCTGTAAATAATCTTGGGGACCTAGTAGTGAGGCTCCTAAAAGAATGTCAAAACCCGGATTGCATCCAAAGAAGATAATGCTTTCCATATGGTGTGATTTCAAGAGTATTATTAACAATTGATTCGACTCTATACTCCTCACAATTAACAAAATTGGATCGATCAACATTCCGAACTGGCAAATCGGAAGGGAGTTGTGTTCCACAAAGACAATGCTAGGTCCAACACCTCATTAGTCACTCGCAATAAATTATTATGCCTTGAATGGGACCTTTTGCCTCACCCCCACCCTCCTTATTCACCAGACCTAGCTCCAAGTGACTACCACTTATTCTGGTCTCTGCAGAACTCCATGGAATAGAAAGAAATCCCAAAAGGAAGAGGATATCAAAAACCACTTGGATCAATTCTTTAACAATAAACTCCAGACATTCTATGAACACAGCGTTATGCAGTTAATGGAAAGATTGGAAAAAGTCATATTAAATAATGGTCAATATATTATAGATTAAAATAAATTTTGTCTATATTAGATTGAGTTTTATTTCACTCTGAAAAACTGAAAGGACTTATTTGCCAACTCAATACCATACAGTAAATTCTAGGTAGCCATCGGGGTTGATACAATAGACCATAAAGCTCGCTTGCAATAATTTTTCCCTCATTATTAACAGTACCAGTACAAGTAATATCTGTAGCAGGTGTTATTCCAACTTTTGTTTTTATATTTCAAACACGTTCTCAATTAAATACAATCATAATAGAGATCATACTCACACTATATTTGTAATAATTAAATTTCGTTACAGTTCATCATACAAAATGATAATAGAAAATAATTTTTTTTTTAAATTCATACTTTACAATGTAGATGCTTACGAAGGACCACTGAGAAGATAGGCTTAAAAAACTATAAAATATTCGAGTAGACAAAATGAAAAACTTTTTTAACTATGAATAACATATATTAAGAAATTGAAACTGGAAAAGGGATAGCTTCAGTATTCCCAGGACTAATATGAACATTTTTACCACTTTACTGAAAAATAATTAAATATTTATTAGCAATTATTATATGTAATAAATTTTAAAAAATAATAATAAACCTTTGTCAACACAACCCATAGAGGATCTGAGGTTCAGTACTTTATGAGAAAGTATTATTTCTTGAATAGTGGACAAGGTAATTATGCTGGAATCACAGTTAACTGTCAGGTTTTTCACCATAATAATTTATATTACAACCACAAAAATAAAACGCTTATTAGACCAGTAGTCACCTATGGAGCGGAAACCTGGTGTTTATCGCAAGAGGATTGCCGTAAACTAAAAGTATTCGAAAGGAAAATAACAAGAATTATTTACGGTGCTACAAGTGTTAATGGTGAGTGGAAAATCAAAAATAACAATGAAATCGAGGCAATATTAGAGAATCAAAACATTACTAACTATATCAAGGCAAGTAGGTTGAGATGGGCAGGACTTGTAGTCAGAATGGAGAATGAACGGGTGCAGAGAAAAATATTGGAAGCACAGTTCAGTGGGAAGAGGAAAAGAGGAAGAACGAGATGCAGATGGAAGGATGAGGTGGAGAGAGATGCGAAGAAGCTAGGAGTTCGCGATTGCAAGAGAGTAGCACAGGACAGAGAGCAGTTGAGAAAAATAACTCAGGATAAATAATTATCTGCCAAAACTGAAATCCAACCTAGAATCTGGACCAATTGAATACAGTGCCTTATTCACTGATCTCCCACCCTCTCACATGTAATTAATAGGTATATAAAAAGGATTAATGAAATAAAAGATAATAGATTTTTAAATTTTAATATTATATAGTACAAATAATATACAAGTACATACATATGTTATAAATGTTATTACAATATTTATACTTATTGTTTAACGATATGCATGTAACTTTCTTTCATCTTTGGTTAACATATCACCCAGAAATAAAAATAAAAAAGAAACTTAAAAAAATAAAATTGCCTTAAATTGTTAACAATGAAAAAATAAAACTAATGACATTAATTAAATTGACTGAACAAAATATTTTTGTTATACAAATAATATTACTTTTCACAGTTATAATATCTTAGAAAATACTTTTCAGTTAATAACTTCACTGAACGATCAAATTTAACCTCATGCAATATGGCAATCATTAAAAGTTCGGCATTTTTTTTTTTTTTTAGTTTTTTATTCGATATTTTTAACTTTACATCAAAGGACAATCTCTATTAATCAATTCAAACGTAACCTAAATCAATTGACAATGGAATTTTTACTTTTAGCTGATTTCATTATACAGTTGAACATTTATAAATTGATTTATTTTTCAGGAAATGGACATACTGAAATTTTGATTTGGTTTCCAAGAGAACTATTAATTACCTATTTTTTTTGTTTTCTTGACACCAAATACGAAAGCTAAAATTATGGACCAAAATGTAATTGAAAATTTGATTGATAATAAAGAGAACATTTCCAAGGAAATGCTCAATACATTTAAAAACATATAATCTTCAGTTTTTAAAAGTAAATTAGCCAGAATATAAAATTAATTAAGTTATACTAAAAAATATAAATAAATAAGAGTGAGAGAACAACTACAAACATTGAAACAAATATAATAGCTTTTACAGCAATTTTCCAAATTCAATTACATCAGACAAATCCACTGATTGTAAGGGAAACCCTACAAATGAAATATCAAAACCACAAACAATAAAAGTATCACAAACTATAACACTACATATAACAAAAAATAAATAAAACAAATATTTGTATTAATGTACATACAACATATGAAGACAATTAGAAAATATATATATATCTTAGTTCAACTTTTTTATTTATTTTATTCTAAAGAAAATCTTTTGAACATAAATATCTAACTGAATAGTTGTATAGATCGCATATGTAATACACATTATTTATATTTTTTACAAAATAATTACAAAACAATAAAATTTTTTTTCTCTTTCCAAATTCAGATATACAGAACATTTTATTCAATTAACTTTTAAGATTTAACTGTATTTTTAATAAAAAGTAATAATTTTACTTATGAAGTAGTTTCAGTTAATTTTAAAAACAAGAGACAAAATAGTTCTTAGAGAACTGATTTTAATATACAACATTATTTTCTTTATATCCTTAATATATTTTTTTATTTGAAAAAAAATTAAATATAAATTAATAACAAATCAGGATTAAACATAACAAGTAAAAGTAAATCCAGTTTGTAATCCATTATATTGTCCATGTTAAAGTAACAAATCTTAACCTGCCCAACGTTGCACATTTGTTAATTTAACATGGTGTCGATAATATTTTCCTTTATACACTCAATATTTTTGTTTCAAGTTTTTTATTTTCATATTAATCACTAATATTACATACCTTGTTTCTGAGTTTAATTAAGAGACATATTAAAACAAAGAAAAGTTCATTCCTTTAAGCCACTTTTGCACAGCAGGCAAGTTATTTAGCCTGGTCCTTTTGTTCAAAAACAAGTGAAAATAATAATGTTTAGGTGGAATAATTAAACTGAAGTTTAAAGAGTAACCATTTTGATAAAATATTTCATTTTCATCTCTTAATATTAGTGCATGGTGTGACTATAAAAAAAAAAATTAAAAAAATTGAAAAGGGTAACTACTATATGTATAAATGTTAATGAAATCGTTAACTTCAAGGTACTCACTAAATTAATAAATCACTTGATTTGATTGAATAAACTAAAAATTATTTTACATGTGCAAATGTGACTTTAAATAAACATAAAAATTAAATAATCAAAAAACTAAATATATATATATAAATTGCTCAATATTTTGAAGCATACTATTAAAGAGATCAATAAGAGGGGGAAAAAAAATTATTCAAAACCTTTCAACAGTAATCAGCCAAACTTGATTAATTAAAAGTAATTTTTTAATAATTCCAATGCCTAAAAGCCTAATTTTCACCGACTAAGTTCAATCACAATATGAAAAACTACAAGACGAAACCATACTAGCAGACTGAGAAAATTTTTAAGTTCCACTGGCATATACATATGATAAATACATGTATAATTATTTATAATTTATTAAATAAAAACTTTATTATATACAATCATAATTACTGATAATGGCTACCTGATGGAGAAACAAACACCTTCCCTTACTCACCATCCCTACAAAGTTGATGATAATAATAATAATGTATTAAAATAGCAGTTTGCACATATTTTAGCATTAGTATTTAAATAGTTTTAAAATATACATTTCCATATTAATAGTCAAATATAAGGCAATATGTATTTCATGAATTATATATTATTAATGACTATAATGGATACAGTTATTCGTAAAGGAGCACTCATTAATTCTATTTCACCTACGACAAGGCAAGACGATTAATTCGTCTGCAGCTGCTCACACTTTAAAACACAGAAGAGAGTTTCAAATAGGCCAAGAGTTTAACAATGATAAAAAAAAAAATTAAAAAATGAATCATCATAAATCTGAAGTATTCAAATATTTTTATTAAACAATTACAAAATATTTATTTTTCTACTATGAATGTGGATAAATAAGAGGTTAATTTAATATCATCCAATTTCATCTTTTTAAATAAATGGATCGAATAAATTTAGATAAAATTTCCCAATACCATAAAAATCAGAACTTCCAATAACTGAAGTGGGTTGATCAATATCCACTTCAAGATAATTAATTACAGCAAAAATTGACTTTTTAAAAAATAAATTTAAAATTAATAAAAATAAATACTGAGGATATTATAGTCAGAAAAAATCTTTGAGCAATAGAACTCTGAAACGGATTTACCCAGTTAAAATTTATTTGTAAAATAGTTTTACAAGTGAATCATAAACAAGATGTTTAAAATTCTGAGAACAATTTTTGACTATGAAGTAAAAATCTGAATATTTATACATCTTTAATTAGGGAAAATAAGTAATTCTATTTCCCATCTAATACAGACATAGAGACCCAAAATAGGCACAAGAGTTTGTTATAAAAAAAAAAAAAACACAAAGTAACCTCAAATATTTTATAGATAAAAAAAGATAAATAATTGAATTTAAAGAGATAAAAAGTAAGCAATTATGTTGAGGTCTGTGAAACCAGAAAACAACGAGATAAGTAGTATTTTTTAAGATGTAAAGTTGTAAAAACTATTTATTAATTTATTCATATAATTTAAATCACCTAACTTTTAACTCTAAAAAGAAATACACTAAAAAAAATATCACAGTGGGCCTATTGTGGGCAACTGTAGCTAAATCAAAACAACTTTTAGGAGCAATGAATGCAGGCGAGCATTGAATCCACATTACCAGCTTGCAGGCTTCAAAGCAACTATCAAGTGTGAGGCTTGCTCAACTACGTCAAATTCTTTCCGAATACGATTCTTCCGACTGAAGCTTATATTATTAATAAAACTAAATCTTAACCACTTATGGAATCGAAGGGTCGCTCACGAGCGAACAGCCGAGGCGAATTCTCGGAGGACATACAGAAATTTTATTGTCAGCAGGGTTCAGACCGAGCTTCCACCTCCAGCAAGTGAACAACTACTAGCTGCAGAGTGCCTAAACCTCACAGGAACAGTTCCTTCTCAAAGCACTACTACACAGGTGTTCCGAAACTGGCGTCCCCAAAGCCATCGATGTAAGTACCCACATCAACCTTATAATGTACCGATTTGTCGCTCTTCTCACTTCCTTGCCTCATCAGCTCATGGTTCCGATAATCTCCTTTTGAAGTGGAATCATTCCTATTGAACTCGCCTCGCCTGTCCGCTATCCTCTGCTCATGATGTTTATTGATAATATCTTTATGAGAGTTCTCCAGTTCAAACTGTGCATCTAATCTGGTCTCAATTGGCTTGTTGATTTCCTTGGAGTTATCAAACCTAGTGGCTTGTATGTCTTGCTGCTGAGACGGCTTCCTAACAGGAGCTTCTATCGGTTCTTTCCAGCTGCCACTAGGGGTAAGAGTTCGGAATATCTTTTGAAGGGTCGTTACACCGATGTGAAGAGGGCTCGTGGGTTCTTTTTCCTTCTCGTACTTCTCCTCATTGTCCACTATCTGACAATTGGAGTCCTTTTCGGAAATTCTGGGGCTGCTGGTGTAACTACTTTCTGACACATCTCTGTAAAATGAAAAATTAATATTAATAATATAATGATGTAGAGATGGTTGACCGTTGATATAATATGAGAAGGAGTTGATCGGGGGGTGCGGTCAAATTAATACTAAATTAAATAAGTAGAATTATTTAATTTTGGCCGACGTTTCGACCCACTTTGTAGGTCTTCATCAGGGCTACAAAAGATACAAACATAGTGAAAATAAATTAATATAAGTAGATATAAAATAAGAATAAGTTGTCTGATACAGAACTAAAAGATGATATCAGAGATATAGTGGGTGACAATGTAGTTAAAATATATTTAAATATATTTATATTTATAATATATATATATAAATCAAGAAATTATAATATATATATATATATATATATATATATATATTAAATATATTTTAACTACATTGTCACCCACTATATCTCTGATATCATCTTTTAGTTCTGTATCAGACTTATTCTTATTCTTATTAGACTTCAGACTTATGAACTTATTCTTATTTTATATCTACTTATATTCATTTATTTTCACCATGTTTTGTATCTTTTGTAGCCCTGAAATTGATTTAATAAATAAATAATAAAAAAGATTATTTTTTTCTTTAAAAAAATATGAAAGCCAAAATAATTTTCAGAGAACTTGTGGTACAGTGGTATATTCTTGGAAGAAATGAGTAAATGGAAAACAAAAGATGGAAATCCGTGAAGCATTACAATTACAATTTGTATTTGATTGATCGGAAAAACATGTTTCATTACCTCACAAAAGAATCAGGAGTTCTTGGAGCAGTAGGTGTGACCTCTTTGTTGTAACCGTTTTCGTAGGCCAGCATTTGGTGACCATCATTGAAGAAACCATATCTGTAAATTTAACTGAGTTATAAAAATATACTTCATTAATTCTGGATTTATACAATAAACATAATCAATAGATGAAACAGCAATAGATATTGTACAATGATACTGATTGTCTGAACATCATATTAAAAGATGCAAAAAAAAATGAGTCAATCAAAAAGAATTTAATTGTATAATTGAATTATTATTGGAGCTTCCTTGAGGAACAAGGTGTTGATGTTGGGGAGCTCGCGATATTGGCCGAAAATATTATTTTGGACTCCCTGGGGATCATCCACTAACATCTATACACTGATTGAGGACGTCTTGTATTAATTATATATTTAATTTTAAATTGGTCTATAATCGTCTCATCTTTTTGTCTAAATTCGAGGAACTGCTGTGTTATAAACGTGTGCGATGTTGTATTGAGTTCCAGGCATTTGAGAATTTAAAAAGAAATTTTTTTTTTTTTTATCTTAGGGAAATGTTTATTATGCTATGTATATTGTTTAATATGGTTTATTGTTGATAATTTGTAAGAGCATTGTTATGAAAGGGGAGAAAAAAAAATAAAGAAAGATATGTTTTATATATATATATATATATATATATATATATATATATATATATATACATTAAAAAATAGAAAAATGTAATATAAAATTAATGTCCGTAAGGATTGATAAGTATGCTGTGTACGAAGCAACCCTATGAAGTAGGGCAGCATTACTTTTAATAAAGTATTTCTCTCTCTCTTGTGAGGATAATTGAGGGACAATATTGATTTGGTTCTATCGCCACAATTGTGTAGTGAACATTGCATTATATAGAACAAGAGAACCATTAAATAGAAATAACTCGCCTTAATTGAGAGACATCAGAATCTTCTTCTGCATCATCCTGTCCGACATATTTCACTTTCAGTTTAACTTCGCCAACTTGGTTACTCAAAATCTTCACTGCTTCATTATGACTGGCCTAAAAATAAACTAACAAGTTAAAGCAACATATAATATTATTACCTTTTCAATACTAACGCATAGCATGCTTTATTTGAAACCGAATAAAAATTTCATCTAAAAAGCTAGATTAGGTTTAATTATATAGGAACATGCACTTAAACGAAAATTAGGCTAAGTTGGAGAAAATTTGGAGAATTAAGCACAGATGGTATCATATAAATTTCATCTAATTCCATTTAATAGTTAAAAGTTCAGCAGGAGGAAAATGAACTGCTCCTGTGTGGTGATGATACTCACAAGGGGGATTTACAGTCAGTGGGTCACCGATTTGAACCAAACTTTTTTTGAAGATACTTCATCAAAAGATATTGGAAACATTCCCTGGCGTTTATTCTAACGGGATGTAGGAGGTGAGAAAAAAATATTTCTTATAATTTCAAATCAAATTTATGTTATTTATTTTTGCATTTGCTTTCCCATATTTTTAAGTTAATATATCACTATAAATTTATTTTTTTGTATATCTGCATATTTTGCTCTACTGAGGATCAAGACGGCTATAACGCCCAAGAAATAGAGGAAGGATTCTAAAAACAGAAACATACGTTGGGGCAATCTGGATCGACCTAGGAAAGGCATTCAAAAGGTATGGACTAAAGGCTTAATCTTAAAAACACGCCAACAACTTCTTAAAAGCCAATGAGAAAACTCATATTTGGCTCAATGGCTATGTCAAGGAATGAAAAGCCAGAGTTATCTCAAGCAATACAAGAAGCCGGGCAAGGAAATTTGAAAATGGCGTATCTCAGGGAGGATTACTTTCCCCAGTGCTATTTCTAATATTCATAAACATCATTATTCAAGACTTACCAAATAATGCTAAAGCATACCTGTTCACAGACGATATCATCTTCTGGAGTAAATCGTCTTTCACTCTCACGGCAAAGAACTGAATGCTAATGGCACTCGACAATCTCTGTCAGTAGACCAAAAAATAGGCCATTAACTGGATCAAGACTAAATACTCTATCTTTAGCCTAACCTTACTGGTTCTTCTTAACCTAAACCTCAATCAAGAAAACCTAGCCGAAGATGAAATCCCCACTTAACTTGGCATTAACTTCAACCACAGACTTACGTAGAAACCCCATATCGAACAATCTATTTGTCAGGAGGAACATGCAGCAGCCTCAAACCTCCAGAGGATCTCAACCGTGAAAAATCAGGAGCTAAGGAAGTCTACACCAATTGAAAAAATGGAGGTAATTGCGAAACTTCCTACAATAGAGGATAGGAAAGATGTGAAACTCCTGAACCTAGATGCAAAAGCCAAGTCAGTTCCAAATCATCCTTTTCAAAAAAGGTTAAGAGAAAGAAACAGAAACAGGCTGAAACGGCAAAGCATACTTCACAGAACTACAAAGCTGGTTTCTGAAATCTATGAAAATTGTCTGCAGAACGTTCAACATCAGTAGAAGACTAACCAGGAGACTTCCTGATTTAAACCTTCAAAATAACAATTGTTTTTGAATTTGGCAAACAATAGATCCTTCAAGGGTCGAGGTGCTCTAAGTCAACAAATTAAAAAAAAAAAAAAAAAAAAGATTGTTTTGTCCATCCAAGGTATCAAAATCAAGGAGAATATGCCTCGGAAAAGGTCTCCTCCAACTTGTAAATACCAAGTACCCAAAAGACTTGTGGACTCGAATATCTACTGAAGGATCAGTCACAAATGAAACTATAAACTATAAAATTACGTTCCTTACTGACGCTGACACAGCTTCAGTATTACTATCACTTAGGAACTTGAAGATTTGATGTCCTTTCATAAGAAAGTTGCCCTGCAATGGATCTCTGGAGACACATGGTGATGTGTGGCGGATTTCCGAACATCCGGAAATCAAAGATTCATTCACGAGAAGTGGAGGGGGGACTGAGGTAAAAGTAGTGGGGAGACTAACCATACTACTAGGTAGGTTAGTTTATCTAGACCACACAACCATTATATATTTCTGATTTTCATTATAAGTAAATAGTTAAATAATTTTTCATATCTCTTGTTTATATTTTATAAATCATCTTCAACTATTTCTTTTAAATAGTCAAGTGTGCAACAAATTAAAAAAAAAATTAGAAACTTCACAATTTACTTAAAGAAAAAAAATAATCTTTAACTGTTGTGTATATTTGTCAGTTCTTTTTCAATTTTCCTCAACAAATTTATTATTTTCGCAATACCTTTCCTTAATTTTTGTAAATAGTAGACTTATATTTTACAAACTTTTGTCAAAATGATTTTCAATGAGACTAACCTTATTTCTAGATAGGTTAGTTTACCTAGGTCTCATTTGTAAGTAAATAATTTCATAAAAGTAAATAGTTGTTTATATTTTTACTAACCATTTTCAACTATTTTTTATTTAAATAGTCAAGTAGGCAATAAATTGAAAAAAAAAAAAAAAAGAAGTGGAAACTTCACAATTTACTTATAGAAAAAAAATCTTTAACTGTTGTGTTTATTTGTCATTAATTTTTCCATTTTTCTTAACAAATTGATTATTTTCGCAATAATTTTCCTAAATTTTTGTATGTAGTTGACTTATATTTTTCTAACTTTGGTCTAAACGATTTTCAGGCACTAGGAAGTAATTACTATACCTCCATTTTTCTCTTGATACCTAATATTATAAATGACAATGTGCAAATAAGAATATCTATGCTGTTTCTTTGTTTACAACTGAGCTAAACTGGCTTCAGCAACGATAAGTAATGGTCAGTAATGATTGAACGTGTAGGGGTCTTCATGATCAAAGCGCTCCCGAGCAATCTTTGCCGTTCTTGTGACGTTCATTCATGAATTACCGTGTAGGGTCCGCTTTATAAGCAAAGACTGATCTTGCCCTTTCCAACTAAGGTATAAAAAAAGCTATACAGAAGCTTGGAGGACCGGACCTCAGGACTACTGAATTCTTCATTTTAGTTCCTGATCTGGCCATCTAAGGGAAGAAGGAGAAAAGAAGCTGTATCCTTGATATTTCAAAAAATGCACCATTCCACTCAACTATGATAGCATTTTTTTTAGCATCTAGGTGGTGTGCAGCTGCATGCATGCTAGAAACAAAGCAATCTCCAATTATGAAGTTTTTAGGCACTTAGGTCACTGTCAAAAGCTCGGGTTGAGCAGGCAGACTAGAGAAATTGAATGCTGAGGGCACATCATAATGGTGTTTGATTAAAAGTTATCTTCCAATAAGTAAACAAATTTCAACCTAGCTCTTGGACTATAAAAGGAAAAAAAAAGTAGAATACCCTTTCTGGGTAAGCAGAAATATGTGTATTCTGCACATATTTATGTAACTTCATGTTATTCTTTCATTCCTTAATACATTACTGGCATGATAGTAATCTAATCAATTATTGGTCCCAAGCAATAACTGAGTGGACACCTTATGGCTTTAGGAGGAAAAAAGGAAGACAGCTCAAGAGCTGGAGTAACTTCTTTAAGGAAAAGTTTGGTCCCACCCCACCTGCTGGAGAATGGCAAAGAACAGGAAGATATAGACATCTAAATGGAAGGAATTGAACACATCCTCTTCCCTGTAGGATTAGACTATTACTCCCTTTTTCGCCTATGCGAACATGAAGTGGAAAAGTGTATATATTGTAAATAGGCAATTGTAAATATTGAATTTTATTAAGTATACAGAGTAATCAAAGGCTATTATTATTAATATTATATTATTACTAACCTAATAGCAAGCTTCAGATCTAAACAGCTTTTAAAACATATTTGCAAAATAAAACAAAACAAATGAACATGAATCCCTTGGTACCTAATATAATAATGAAATACAACAACCAAAATAATTGTAGGAAATATAGTCTATTATATTATTCTATTTACAATTAATTAACAGTAATATAAATTGAAAAATTCAAATTAAATTATTATGTGATTGCTGAGCATATTGGGGTATAGGTTCCATAATGCCCGATTCTTTACGATGTGGGTTTGATTCCCATCTGGTTCAGTTAATATTTGTGTTAAATAAATATGATAAATATTAACTAGCCCTACTTGAGAATTCATTTCTACTTAAATGGGATGAGACATGAAAGTTGTGTTATATTCAATGCACCAGATTTTTTTTAGTTAATCAACCTAACAAAACCATGTAAGACATCATAAGGTATATAACAGAAATATAAAACAATAATTATATAATGTAATAATCAATTAAATAGATAATTGACAACTGTCTGGACAAAAAAAAGTTTCCATAACAACCTAACTTCCATTGATTTGAAAAATAACAAAGATAACAGTATATAAGAAATTTAAAGATAAAAGAAAAAATAAATAAAATAAGCAAAGCAGCTAAGATACCTGAGACAAGTCAATGCCATTCACCTCAAGAATGGCATCCCCAACGTACAATTGGTCGACTCCACCACCAGGCTCAAGTTCGGATATCAATATTGGTACGCCGTGCTCTCGACCACCCTGATTGGAAATACAAATTAATGATATGATACATAAATAAATTCAGTAAACTTATATGACTTAAAACCTATTTATAAACAGATTAGTTTACTATAACTAAAAAAATTGTATTATCTGTAGTAATAAACTCTGTCTTTACATTAGTTAACCCGAAACATATTGAAATAAAACAATATTTAAAAGATAAACCATATAAATTGAAAACTATTTATATAATACATTTAAAGTGATCTTAAAAATGACTGATTAAAATACAAGTTAGAATATTAAAAAAGACTAGGGGAATACCCCTGTCCGCCTAACAGTAGACCAACTCCCATTTTACAAATTATAAAACTGTTCATTTAATTTTACTACTCACTGCTCAAATGGTATTATTTTTTATCAACATAATAATATAATAAATCAACATATATTGTAAATCGTGCCTTATTGCCAATTTATATTATTATATAATTATAATTATTCTTATTGAGAATTTGTAACCATAATATATATTCAACTTGGCCATCATCATAATAGCCCAACAATAATTCCAGTCTTTTATTTTTAATATTTTCATTGTACGTTATATTATGCTTCCTTTTCCATTGCATAATAATTATGATTATATCACAATATGATATATAATACAATAATTAATACATTGTATTCAAGGAGAAAAGTATAGATCAGAAAATAACTGTTGTTACCTAGGTAAAATCAAAATACCACCTCCATATGAATAAATACCATTTTCCGTACAAACGTGTGTTGTAAAATCTTTATTTTGTATTAGGAGAGTAGGAGGTTAAAGGAGCTCAACAAATACATAATTAAATGAACAGCTAATAGGAAAGCACCTGTAATTTCCTAATCTCTTATTACTAAAATAAAATATAACATATACTAAACCCTTTTTTATATAATAGATAGAAAGAATAAACCCTGCATCACTCCAAACCATTAAGGGTTTTGTGCTCTTTGTAAGAATTACTGTTTCTTAATCAAAAGTGGTGCAAAGAAGTGATCTGACTGAGATCAGGCTCAACTGTCAGTTTTATTTCCTCCGTAATCGAATATTTAATTATGAGTATCTTTTTATATTTATAAAATTAAGTTATGTTATAAATGGAAAAATTCCTACCACACAACCTTATGTTTCCAAAATGCAGAGAAAGAAAAAACCCGTCTACATTTCGCCATCAGTTCTCCTCTGTCCTGATGATGCCTGAATTAGCAAAATGTTGACGGATTTTTTTTCTTTGATTGCAGTTTGGAAACATAAGAGGCTGTTTGGTTGGAATTTTTCCAATTATAACCTAACATTTAATAATAATAATAATAATACTTTATTTATTCTGGGACGAGTCCCTTTAGAATAATACAGGAAGACAGAAATGAGGGCTAAGGAGCCTTAGAGATATATAAATAAAAATACAGAGTAATTGAACTGTCTTGGTTAAAAAAATAAAATATATATATATATATATATATATATATATATATATATATATATATATACACATATACATATAAGTTGCTTTCCAATTTTGATCAGTTGATAATAAAAGAGAAAAAAAAAAATAGATAAACAAAAATTGGAGAACAAATAATGAAGAACGAACTAATAACTTATGTACATATTTTCAGTAGTATCTATTTACGATTTTATGGAGACTGGATGGATAAGAAATGATTGAACAGGCGGGATTTTAAGGTAGGAAGGGTATTAGATTGACGGATATGGGAAGGGATGGAGTTCCATAGAGATGAGGATCGGATAATGAACGATTTGTCGAAAGCAGCGGTTCGGTGGGCCCTTATGTATAAATCAGAAGACCGGGAACGAGTATTGCGGGAACGAACAGAGGATTTGAATTGAAGGAGCTCGGAGATGTATGAGGGACAGTGGGATTGGATGACTTGAAAGAGGAAGGATGCCAGGAAATACTTACGACGGTAGGAAGGATAAAGCCAATTTAACTCCGCGTAAAAATGGGAGACAGAGGCGTCCCTTGGGATCCCGAAGATGAATCGTACAAAGCAATTTATCAAACGTTTTAGTTTCGCCTCGAGATCTCCAGAGAGGCCCCCATATACCGTACAGCAATAGTCAAAGTGGGGAAAAATTAATTAATGTTCTGTCTCTTGGTTAGTTTGTTACAGATTTATATTAATTAATGATAAGAACAAAATAATAAAACAATGATATTCACTCACCGTTATTGATATACCTAATCCTACAGTATTGTTATCTCTTTTGAGAACTACATTCCTAGGTGTATTGAAAATGTTGGTTGGCGGTGTACGAGTATCAGCTTGTCTAACAGCTCTGACCTGTCATAAATATAAATAACGTTACAAATAATTCATTCCACATCATTAATTTCTTAATAAATGCATCTTAAAAAAATAAATTTAAAAAAGTCACACAATAATAAAGTAATAAACATGTCTATACTTTAAAAATATTGTTATTAGAATAAAACATTATTATGGAACAGGGGTCTCCAAGTAATTTTAAAAGTTTTTATAATTGATTTTTAAAAATTGAAACATATTTTCAGTACATCCCGCAATCTCATTTTTAAGAAATTCAGCAAGTTTTTATATTTTAGCCACTAGAGATCGCTGGTAAAACAGACAGCCAGGTCAATATCTAGAGACTCTTGGTAAGTGAAACTTGGGAGATGCACGGATCCCACCATATTTTTTATTTTTAGTTGGTAGAAGTTTTATAGAGTTTTTAACTTACAACTGTTTTTTGCCTTTGGACAAGTATTTCTGCTTCCAGTTGGGTCCATAGGCGCTCCCTAACGGCTGCTACCATATCTGTCCTCCCGACCAACTGCAACTGCTGTATCCTAATTAAGAAAATATATTCAGAATATAATAAAATTATAATTCATATATTTTATTTATTTGGAAATATTCTAGGATAATTGTCAGATAATCAGTGATATATGCGATTTTTTTGGAAATTAATATTTAATAACAATCACATATTGTATGTAAAATAATATTTTAACTATTTTGCAAAATCACAAAAATATGACAATAAAAGTGGAATATATAAGTAAATAAATGGACAAAGGGATGGGTATTTCTGATGATGGGAATAATGAAGAAAAAGATCAAATATACTCTCAATTATCTGCTTATTTGATTAGCAGGAGATTTTATCTATCTCCCTTTTTTATTTAAATTTTTATTTTCTTTACAGAATATTACAATGACATTTAAAAGTACAATGAAAGAATAAATGAATCATCATGATTGAAAGGTAATTAAAAACTTGTGGTTTGATGAAAAAGTCCTTCTAATCAGAGTTGGACAGTACTCAGTGAAAAATGTAATCGTGTGAACAAATTCAGTATTCGATTTCATTCGGATACTGCATTTGTAATCGTCACGCATTTTTAGGCAAGTATAGATACTATTCTGTACTTGATATAGATGAATACTTCAGTATTCGTTAAAAGTAATCATGATTACTTTGAGTATCTGTATTCATCTGAGACGATTACAATTTCCAAATATTTTTTACAAGTTTGTACAATAAATCCTCGCTGTTTTTCAGAGCAGATGCCTAGTCTTTATCTCTGAAATAATCTTAAAATAAGATATTATAATTTATTTGTTCCTAGTAGTATGGAAAATTAAAGGAATGGAGATGGCATTGATGGTAGTATGGCTTTTAAGATTATGATTACGTTCAAAGAAGGGAGGAAGTTTTTTTTTGCAAACTTTTGATTTTGAGAATCAGCAATCAATTATTGATCTATTTTAACTTACTTAATTTTACTATATCTATTTTTATCTATTTATATCTATTTTAACTTACTTAATTTTACTATATTAAGGCCAGATTCTAAGTTAACAGAAGCGTAATTAAAAAAAAAAAAGCAATAACAATATTCTGTGCTTCCCTATCAGTCAAAACGTAGAGACCGGATTCTCTCAACAGTTTGGATCTCAATGCCTCATAGGCAGTCATCCTTATCAACCATCAGCAAATTAGTAAAAACATTTATTATCCACTCATCTTAATCCCCACTATTACCTCAGGTCAGGGGTCCCCCAAACTTTTGGCCCCATGGGTCTCGACTAAGTTAGACCTCAATTAAGTTAGGCAGTCCGCATTGAGACCTCCACCGATGTCCTGCGGACCGTGGCTAGTCATGAAAAAAATATCTTATTTTATAAATGTCACTTTATCTGTGAAATGAGGTTTCTAAAAGAAAAAATCCAATCAATAAATGTAGTAACCTCATGTGTGAGTAATTAGCTTAATTTCATATTTTAAAATATTTTTCAAATTTTACAATCTTATCAATTACAATCTTTATGGGCCAGATTAAAGATGCTTTAGGACCATATTAAACCAAAGGAGGATCCGGCCTGCAGACCGTAGTATCGAGACCCCTGTCTTAGATAATTGAGGTTTCACTATAATAATAATAATAAGAAGAAGAAATTGAGCAAAACATATAAAAGATTCTTTGTGGAAATGTTTGGTGAAACTTCTCGACTGTGGTAACCTACGGGGAGGAGACTAAGAATAAAGAAATCATAATATTTGACAACAAATTACGCTATGAATTCTGACTAATCACACCTACAAATTATGTTATATTTTTTATTTATTACTAATATACCAACTAATTAATTGAACAACAAAATACACCTCGGCCTTTCTCACTTACCTTCCAGCAAGTTCTTTGTCGAGGTACCTCGCTGAAAGTCTAGCACCACAAACCTCAGCTTCAAGACTTGCTATTGTTGCTCTTAAAGATTCGTTTTCTATTTCTAACCTTTTCTTCCAGTTTTCTAGATGCCTAATCATCTTTTCTACATTCATACCTAAAAGAAGAAAAAAATTTATCAGGAAATGTTAAATATTTTACAAAATAATTGGTGTATTGAGAATATAAAATTTAATAAATAATAATAATAATAAAAGGCTTAGCGAACCCGAAGGTTCGATACCGACACCACCAATCGCTTATTACATACCTCCCTCCACCGTTCGCCGTCCAAACCCAGTCCCTTCAGATCGGCTTTAATGCAATCTTCCCACCTTCGCTTCGGTCTACCCCTCGGATGCTTACCATTCGGCACAGCACATATTAACCTTTTAGGAATTCTCTCTTAATTAAGCCCAACAACTTTACAAGCCCATTTGATTCACTGCGATGAAATTACCTCAATTATATTATCCAGATACAGCTCACGCAATTCGGCGTTGTGTAAACGTCTGAACTCTCCGGTTAACTCATCCATCTTCGGTCTGAATATTCTGTGCAATACTTTATTTTCAAAAACCTTAAGACGCTGCTCATCCCTTAATGTAAGCGGCCAAGTTTCGCATCCATAAAGAACTGTAGGCAAGATAATTGTTTTATAGATTCTAATTTTTAAGTTCTGGGACAAGAGGCGCGAACTAGGTAGTTTTGTCACAGAAAAATAACAAGCATTTCCCATCTTCAGTCTAATCTTGATCTCTTCTTCAATTTCGTTTTTTCTAGTTATCTTAGAACCTAGATACCTAAATTTATCTACCTGTTCAAACATATTACCATCTATATCGATATCACCAGTAGTATCGTCATTTTTGCAGCTAACCATATATTTTGTTTTGAGTCCTAGTTCTTTACTGGCTTTCATCAACGTTGTCGTATTTAGTTTTATAGTTTCAACGTCTTCGCTTAACAGTATCAGATCATCAGCATAGCCCAGCACGGATGTTGTCCCGCCCAGATCCAACCCTTTCTCAGTACGCATTACCTCCCTAATGGCATGTTCTAATGCCAAATTGAACAGGACAGGCGAAAGAGAATCCCCCTGTTTTAAACCCGAACGAACCTCAAATTTTTTGGACAAATTATTACCGATTCTAACTTTATTGAGTGTCTCCATCAAGCACATCCTGACTAGATTTACTAGTTTTTTTGGAATCCCCTGCTCGATTAGAATATTATACAGTTTCTGGCGGTCAATAGAATCGTAAGCCTTTTTAAAATCTATATACAGCTGGTGAATAATACCGTTATACAATTTTTTCTCTAATATTTGCCGTAAAGAAAATATTTGATCAATAGTCGAACAATTCTGTCTAAATCCGCATTGGTAGTCTCCGATAATTTTCTCGGCCTATTCCATGATTCGACTGGTTAAGATTGAATTGAATATTTTATAACATACCGGAAGGAGTGAAATTCCTCGATAGTTATTACAATCCGTCCTCGGACCCTTTTTGTGAATCGGAATAAGAATAGATTCTTTCCATTCTTCAGGTAATTTCTCGTTCACCCAGATCTTTTTAACCAACCGATGTATTTTAGAAACTCCAGCTTCCCCGCATGCCTTAATTAGTTCAGTAGGAATATTATTGGTTCCCGCTGCTTTATAAGATTTTAATTTTCCAATAGCTACTTCAACTTCCTCTTTACGAGAATATAAAATATATATCTTATAAATAAAATAATATGTTTAATTTATTATTAATGCCTTTTAGTTTTCTTATTATCACGAGAAAATATCTTAGCTGATTTTAACATAACTTTGTTTCCATATTTACATTGTTGAGCAAATCCGATACCTGGGACACCACCTGGACAAATATCTAACTTGGAATCCTGACTGAAACGACAAGAAACAGCTCGACGTTTCCGACTACTTCAGCACTTACTAGACAAACGCTCTAACCTTTCAATTAATTACAAAAGATTCATATACATGACCATAATAAGACCTATTAGGACTTACGGAGTTGAGCTTTGGGACTCCACTAAACCATCGAATTCCTATCGTATCTAATCTACAATCCAAAATCCTTAATGCTCCTTACTTTGAAACAAATAAAATAATCCATAATGACCTGAATGTTGCATATGTTTCCGATTTGGCCCAATCCAGATATCTATCCTTCCATAATAAACTTCATAACCATCTTAATCCTCTAGTTTCTAACCTTGCATCCTCCTCGATCCCTGATAACCCTCCTAGGCGTCTGAAAAGAAAATGGCCTTCTGATCCTAATTTAGATACTTTATTAGAGTGCTACCAATGGGTAGATACTCTACAAGCCTTGTCATGTCATATTTTTCTTTGTATCACATTTTCTGAATGAATATTAATTTGTACAGTTGTAAATTTCATAAATAATAAAAATATATTTATATAGAAACGTATGAAGGTTTTATAAGCTAAATTAACTTGCCATCCACCACCTTAAATCATGAATGTTTAGTCCACATTTCTTTGAAAAACAATTTTTATAAAATTTCTAACTGGTTTCAATTAAAAGAATAAATTATTCTTAGCAATATAAAATGTTAATCAAAATCTTGATACAAAGTGGCTGGTTTACTAAAATTTGAATTGATTTTAATTTTATTTATTAAAAAATGAGATCAATAAATAGGCTAAATATCGGGGGAAATATAGCAAAGTGTTTTATATTTATTTTTAAGCAGATAGTGGTTAATTAAAATCAGTAATAATCAAAAGGCAGAGTTTGAAATGAGTGTAATCTTGATTTTCAATTGTTCTTATGTCATTTCAGAACTAGAATTTTCCAATTAGAGGTTTTCTAGAAGTTTTATTTAAAAATTTTGTTAAAGCAATTCACTTTACAAATATTTTTTTATTTTTTTTTATTTATGATATTTATAACTGTATTAAGAAAAAATACACTAAGCAAATGTGATAACAGAAAATAAAAATATGAAAACACTTGTTGAGAAATTACCCACTGGTAGCACTCTAAAAAAAAATGTATTTACAATAGGAGATCTTGAGGACATCTTTTCAGACACTTCGGAGGGAAATTTTACAAACAAAATGTAAAAAAAAGTAATTGTGCAGCACATTATTAGAAACTTAAACAAAGCAAATATAAGAAGCTGACAATTCATTAAAGATAAATTAAATTAGTATTTAATTTTCTAGTCATATCTTTTAATGATGTAGTTTGAAGTATAACAACTGAATTTAAATTAGTTTGCAGGATCTTGAAAATGGCTCCTGAAGCTGAAACGTCGAATAAATATTATATGACATGATAACTTTGTACATTTTGGTGACCTTTGACCTAATCTTTTATAAAACACTATTCAAAAAAAAGTTATATTAGTAGTCTTTTTTAAAAAAACCCCAAATACTTTTTATTTACCATGTAACATAACTTTTTGTTAAGAACTGAAATAAAAATTAAACTTTAACGATAAATCCAGAACTTACAAAAAAGTTCTTTTGAATTAATTTATTTATTTATTAAAATTTTCTACTATATTAAAATAAAACACAACTGGTAAATATGAAGAAAACAAGAATAATGAAATAAACAGACTAGTAGAGAAACTACCAAATAATAGCACCACTCACTTAATAATTTTCAGTTAGAAGATCCTGAGGTCATATTTTCAGGTGCCTGGAAGAATAATCCGTACATATATTATTACAGTAAGGCTCGAAATCAGTTTTGTACCAAATATAAGCTCCTGTCATGCTCAAATACAAATGGGGTACCGTTGGATTCAGAATTTTACGGGGGGTTAGCAAATCATATTCTCCACTTTTGTTTTTCTTTCTAAAATAAATAAAGTCGATACAAACATTTTGCTAGGCTTCAATACCTGAACAGTGGTAGGTCTGTAGATCGATAAGGGACAAATTGGATCTAGAAGATTTTGATGCGTACAGCAAGACCAGGATAGTTCCTCCGCAACTATCGGATACTGCGTTTTTAAGCCCAAAAACATACTATTTTCGAGATAACGCAAGACTTAGGGTTCGCATCCACACAACCTTGCATTAATTGTAGTACTGTCATTGAATACATGTCTCATTTCGTCGAATTGAGGTCTCTATGATCGAGAGAGGAGGAGTTAATATTATTTATCGATGGTGTTTTTGATCGGCAAGCCATATCATCGTCAATTTTTCACCAAATCTCAATATTGAGCCACCAATTTCGAAGGCTTCCTTCTCCTTTAGGCGGACAAAATAGCCTAATCATCCCGAAAATTCAGGCCAAAAAGTTATAAAAGAAAATAAACTTTATTTGCGAATAACTAAAAAATTACACACTTTTCCCTTGGTTATGCCCTTGATTATATAAAAGATTACTGAATTTCCTACACAATGAAAAAAAAAATCATCGAAATCGGACAATTTTTAGCAAAGATACAGCTTACTGAAATTTGTAAACATGCTGGTTCCAAACAAAAATTAAGATTTCAATTAATTTTGGTTTTCTTTGTCGATTATATTTATCGATAAAGTAAAGTTTGGTTTCTTTATCTTTTGATAGGACGCATTATTTTATTTTCTTATTAATCTGGCATTTGATAACAATATGCTGTAAGAATTTTTCACACGGGCCTACTAGTCAGGAATAAAGGAGGAAGGGTCTGGAGTTTATCATTGAAGGATAGGTATCTGGATCGAGCCACATCAATGACATACTGAACATTAAGGTTTTCATGATTGATTTTATTTGTGATTAAATAAGAAATATTAAGGATGTTAGATTGTAAGGATTGAATACAGGAGGAATTCGGTGGTTTAGTGGAAGCTCCACAGCTCAACTCCATACACCCATGTAGATGCCGTATTTACTGTTATGTAAATGAGCCTTTTGTAACTAAATGAAAGCTAAGAGTGTTTGTCTAGTATGTGTAACAACCAGAAATGTCGAGCAATTTCTATGAGGTTTTTTTTTTTTCTATGAGGATCTTCATTTCAGGTTTGTATGTATATTTATCCAAGTGGAGGAACTTTAATTTTAAAATCATTTTTAACAAAAAAAAAAATTACATGCTCCTTCTTTTATTTCTTCCAATAACCTCATTTCATACCTTCGTGCCTAGCCCTGTGGAGCGGAGATCTCTCGGCAAGAGACTGGTCAAGGCTGGAGGTGATGTCGGCTCCCTGAGGTATTCCCGTCAGCTGGGCTTTGTGCACGTGGACCAACACTGAGTGGAGCTGCTCCGACAATTCATCGTTCCTAGTTTCCAAATCTACAAGGCAGGACCTCATATCAACCAACTCGGCCTAAAACACAATAATAAGGTTATAACAACTGTGATTGTTTATATATTAATATAATCATTCAAATTATTAAGTATAATAATTTTTTATTAATTAAATCCAGAAAAGAGAAATATTAAAGAGTGAATATTATGTTACTGTTTGTTTTTTTTACTAGTTATGTCTTTAAATATTAGAGTAAAATTCGAAGAGGTGAGATTTTTAAGTTTAAATTAAATCTTCACCTTACTCTTGAGCATACATGCAGAATGAGTATAAGTTACCCCCCCAAAAAATAAAATCGAGGTGAATAATGGAATAAAGTAAGAAGTAACTTCATTGTAAGCTGTTTCATACTGCGCATACAGTCACAGGTGGATTTAGGGGGGGAGGGGACTTTTGGGCTGAAGCCTCTCCCCAAAACGGTAAAATATAACCATGTTTTATAGAGAAAAATATTGAAAATTGTCTCTTAAACTATTATTGTTCGTGTAAATACATTTAATAGGACTTCAAGAACCACTTAAACATCATGCCATATAGGTAGTTAGTTTCTTTCTTTTTTTTTTCAAATTAATTGTCATTATATATATAAAAAAAATCCTTCAAGCTGAAGCCCCCTCCCCCCAAAATTAAATCCTGGATCCACTAGTGCATACAGTTGCAGCAAAATATTGCTTCAAATGGACAGGATTAAATTTTTAAGAAGTTTCGGAACTACACATTATTCACTAACATTTGTTCAACCAGGAATTGAAAGGATATCTAATATCTAAATTCTGCTATTATCAAATATAGAGAACATGAAATAGCATATCACAATATTTGTTAATGTGATAAGTTTGGGAACCTGAAGTACTCACATTTGACATAGAAAACATTGTGAATGAAAGCTGTATTCATTAATCAATCCATTTAGCTAATGAATATTCAATAATAAAATATAATTATTTAAAGATAATTAATTAATAAATCACAAACAATAAATTTAAATAAGCTATCATAGTCCAGTACGATAGGCATGAAAATGGGGTATTTAAGTTGCCTCAAGTGGTAGAACATTTCATTTTTTTTTTTTTTCACATGTTTGGAATGTGACTGAGATACAAAATCCAAGTTGCTCATCAGTGTAAGTTAATTGAATTAAAGCTGTTTCCTAAGATACAAAGAACCAGAACCAAACAAATCCGCTAATCCACCTCCTCCATGGCATCAATTAATACTATATTATGTATAATAATATATTATTATTTTAGGAAACCTCGACAAGGTTTTATCTTAGGATATTCAACAAAGAAATATTTTCATTTCATTTCAGTCTAAGACGATAAATTATGGTACTGAAGGAAGCGGATTGGTGGATTTGCTTGGTCCTGGTATTTCGAATCGGAGGAAACACCTTTAATTCACATTTTGCTTAAGCTTTTTGTATATACTTGGGCTAAATGTTTGTTAGTTAAATTTTGTATTTTGTATTCATCTGGTTGTGAACAGTGACTCCCACCAAACTTCTCCAACCTCCAATGTTAAATTGAATAAATGTTTATTTCACTGACTCATATCAGACAGCTCATGAAAGACATAAATATAATTCTCTATGAACAAACATTAAAATGATCAAGTTTGGTAAATTTGCCAAATTTTGAAAAGGTGTAGTTTGAAACCTATTCATTCTGGTCTTAAATTGTAGACAATTTAATCTAGTTTAATAAAAATTTATGGGATGTTTTTGTCGAAAACGTCCTTCTTCGGGATGGGGAAAATCCTCCAAAAATGCGAACATAGACCAGTCTTTGTGATATTCAAATGTGATCAGGGGGGTCGCTGAGATAAAAAATCTTGATTTTAAATTTGATCTTTTTCACATCCCATACAAGAAAAAAAATAAAAAGAAACCTTTTAACACTCCTGGATGTAACTTATAATTAAAAACCTCAAACTAACCAGATTGTTGGTTGCCCATAATTAAAGAAAGAAATATTGGGTTTATTCTCAGGTTATTAATGAAACTTTTAACAACATACCTTTCAGTTTAAGATCAATTTTGTTATGATAAAAAGAATTAATTTTAACAAAAAAAAAGAGAGAATTTGCGAAATGGTTACCCCCATAATGTGTGAATATGTGACTTTTTTGGGCTACCGCATATTAGGAATCGTTTCACATTTTTGTAACGAACGTACATGAAAAGGTTAGCGCATATTTACAAAGTGACGCAACGCAGCCGTTTGCGAGATATGACAGACGCGAGACACAGCAGACTGCGATAAGCGTCTCATGTCTGATGGTCCTTTAGTAGTTTGTCACTGGGAAATGTCGGATTAAGTAAACATTTCTCCTTCATTAAATTATTATTTTTTTGTAATTAATTCTAATAAATTTTCCATGTAATTTTCTTTATCAGAACGATGTGAAATAAATACCACGCTATTGGATTATAACTTAAAATGAAACTAAGATAATAATAATAACGATGCTTTATTTATTCTGGGAAAAGTCCCTTTAAAATAATGTACTGAGATAGAAGTGTGGGCTTTGGAGCCTCAGAGAATAATCACAAAATAAACAGATTTATGTAATGAATAAATAAAAGAAAATAATATTATTAACCATCAAACTTCAATTAAGAGAAAAAAAAATAAAAGTATTTAAAACAAACTAATTTTTTACATATATATTTAAAATTTAATGAGAACTGAACGGATAAGAGATGACTGAACAGGCGGGATTTAAAGCTGAGGAGGGTATTGTAGGTAGAATGGGATAGAATTCCATAGGGATGTGGATCGAATAATGAAAGATCTGTCAAAAGCAGTGGGATCTAGTATCCAAATCTGAAGACTGGGAACGGATTTAGCAGGAATGGACAGAGGATTTGAATTGAAGGAGCTCATAGATGTATGAAGGACGGCGGGATTGGATGACTTGGAAGAAGAAGGATGCTAGGAAACACTTACGTCGATAAAAGGGATGAAGCAATTTCAGCTCATCATAATATCGGGAAACACAGGCGACTCTTGGGATCCCAAAGATGAATCGTACAATTCAATTTATCAAACGTTTTAGTTTCGCCTCGAGATCCCCGCAGACGCCCCCATAATCAGCAGTATACGAGTTTCAAATGGTATTAAAATATGGGTATTATAATAAAATATATTGGTTCAGTAACTACAAAATCTTAAGGTGTGAATATCTCTTAAACGAAGCGTTTGTTGTGAACATACCTTCATAGGAATTTTTTTTTCTTGTTTTGAGGTCCTTAGTCTCATTTTTTGCAGTTTGGCGACTATTTAATCCTGAAACACCCTGTATACCCAAAGAACTAAGGCATCATTATTTTTCTTCATTTGCCTTATTAATAGTTTTTTTCGTTCGTCAAAGACTATTGTCCGTGGAACTGACCCCTTTTTATCAAATTATTAACAGCCGATATCAATGTGGAGTTCGGAAAACTTTGTCTATTTAATTAGGTACTAAAAAAAACTCGTAAATACCCCATTTACTTTCCACTTTAATCGTAAGATAACTCGAGCACCAAGCCAAGAAAGAAGGTGGCCTTCAAAATTATTGTTTTAGTTTCGCCTCGAGATCCCCGGAGACGCTCCCATATACCCTACATTAATATTTGAAGTGAGGAAATATTAATGACGTAATCAGCAGTTTAAGAGTTTCAAATGGTATTAAAATATGGGTATTATAATAAAATATATTGGTTCAGTAACTACAAAATTCAAATTTAATTTCATTGGTTAAAAAAGGTCCTCGTAGGGATCAAAACAACGATGGAATTATACTGTTTATAAAGCTAAAGACATTAATTTTTAGTGATTGAGAGGAACATTTGTAACCAAATATATATTTTTTTTTTGTCTCATCACAGCCATTAACTGGAAAATTATGTTTTAAAAGCACAACAATATTGCGATTCATAAAGAAACGTCATACGTGATTTCCACTGAAATTTATTGCAACATATCTCAGATTAGTCAGATAATTCTAGTAACGGAAAACCCCTCAAGAAGATTACGATATCATATTGCTATAACATCACAAATTTAGTTAAACCCAAACAGTTCGATGAAGGAATAATCAAAGATCAATCTAACTTGTTTATCAAACGTAACCTTTCCCTTATATTACGACTAAACCTCAATTAGGCTTCAGCCAACAAGCTCTTTTAGTCGTGGAAGGGCGCATGCCAATAAGAATTTTAATTTCAATGTTGACAAGTGTACATCAGTGAGAAATCTGACGTTATATAACTATCCTTCTCCATTATACAGGGTGTTTCAGAGTTAAGTGGCCAAAACGGCAAAAATGAACTAAGGACCTCAAAAAAAGAAAAAAAATTCCTCTGAAGGTATGTCCACAAACGCTTTGTTTTGGAGATATTCACACTTAAAGATTTTCGTTGTTATGAATTATTTACGTTACATGAAATACATAAAACTCATTTATGATTGAGCATGTCCGGTGAATGACCTCAATTCCTTACGAAGAAGGATAATTGAATCTGGTGAAACAATAACACCTATCCAGTGCCGTTCTGCCACTGCTGCTGTTGAAGAAAGATGCAGAGCCTTTATTAATGCTCAAGAAAATCACTTTGAATAACATTCAATATGAATGTTAATGTTTACATTTTATTAATAAAGTAGTTAGAACAAATAAATAGCTTTTATTTATTTCATATAATGTAAATAATTCATAACAACGAAAATCTTTAGGTGTGAATATCTCTTAAACGTTTGCGGACATACCTTCAGATTTTTTTTTTCTTGTTTTAAGGTCCTTAGTTCATTTTTGCAGTTTGGTCACTTAACCCTGAAACACCCTGTATACCCAAAGAACTAAGGGATCATAAAGTTATTTTTCTTCATTTGCCTTATTAATAATTTTTTTCGTTCGTCAAAGACTATTGTCCGTGTTACACACTCCTTTTTACCAAATTATTAAAAGGTCGGCTGAAACTTCGTAAATAGCTTCATCTCATCGTAACCTACAAATATTATATTTACGAAAATTCTCAGAATTTGGGCGTCTTCAATATGGAGGTCGGCAAACTTTGTCTATTTAATTAGGTACTAAAAATTCGTAAATAGACATTTGCTTTCCGCTTTAATCGTAAGATAACATGAGTACAAAGTCGAAAAAAATGGTGGCCTTCAAAATTATTGAACCGTTTGGCGTGACCTACATCCCGAAATTGTCAAAATAACAAGGTTATGTAGCCCAAACGGCTCAATATTTTTGAAGGCTACCATTTTTATCGATTTTGTGCTCATGTTATCTTACGATTGAAGTGAAAATAAGATGGGTATGTACGAGTTTATAGTACTAAATTAAATTGAAAAGTTTGCCGACCTCCAGATTGAAAGCGCACAAATATCGAGAATTTTCGTAAATAAAATATTTGTAGGTTACGATGAGATTAAGCTATTTACGAAGTTTCAACCGGATATTAATAATTTGGTAAAAAGGGGGTCTGTACCACGGAGTACTACGATAAATAAAATTTTTTTAATTTTAAAACCTAAAAGTTTGATAAGTATCCCAGGGCAACCATAGCATCTGGGAGGCTTTTTGCGACAAATTACGATTTATTTCGAAAACGAAACCTTTTAGAGTTTTAAAACATATGACCTGATAGTTCCTTTGGAATTGTACTAGATCTGGAAGTCCGCATAGAAAACTTTAAAACAAAATTAAACCCGTCTCGATCCGCTCACTTTTGCAAACATCTGATTTTTAAAGCATCCTTCTTTTTATCAATGACTTAATTGGTATCCGTCAATTCACCATGAAATTTCATTTCTTTTGATATGGCATACATTAAAACCCATCCCCGAAAAAGGGATCTGTACAACCACATTATATCTAGTGTAGATATATCGTAATAATACTTTTCTGTTAAAAAATCTATATTTCTCTTCGATTTTAACATCAATAATAATAGTTCATACTTGAAATAACAATGAGTTTATTACATAGTTGAAAAGAAATGAAACGAACCGACTGACCAGCTGAAAACGCAGACGACCACCTACAACAAAGGTAAGCCTAATTAGAGAAGGCGACGGTAGGACGTTGCCTCCTCAATAAGATATAATTCATCCCATCCAGCTGGCTCCCATTGTACTCAAGATACAGTCACCACTGGCTGAATAGCATCGCTTTACTCAGTACACCTGGGACAGTCTACAATACAACGCTAAAAAAAGGTCCTAAAATAACTGAATGTAGAAGCTATAATAGGCGAAGGTTAGGGTAGAATGGAAAAAACAAACTTATTCTAGGGCAAAGCCCTTAAAGAATAATAAATGTGTACATAAACATAAAGATTAATTCAGACCAAGAGACATTGTACAGTAAATAAATAATAAAAAATATATATTCGATTTATTGCAAAACATCATTAAGTAACATTTCATACAATTAAATGACTATATAACTCATATGACTCTGGTCACAGTGCAATGCAGAGCTTGCAAGTCCAATGTCCAAGATCCCAGGTTCTAATCCCTGCTTATAGCAGATAAATTATTTATTCTGTTTCGTGGATTGACTCTGGGGTCTAGAGACCCAACTGGGGCACACCTAGCCACTAAAAAGTGGGTTATTCTAAATTAGATCTCGGTCAAGTTACCTTTTTGCACAACCTTTGACCAAGAAACAGTGCCTTCCCTAAAAAGTACTGATGGCGGACAAAAAGCCTATGTCGCTCTTAGACTCCTAAACGGATGTACCGATTTGAATAAAACTTGACGGAAGTCTTCTCGAAGCCCTTTAAATTTATTTTTTTTAATATTATTCACCACAACAAAACTTGAAAAAAAGTATACACCTTTCTTATTGATGTTATGTTAAGTGTGGTCAGAAAAAAAAAAAAAAGTTGAAATCGGTCAATTTGGTGCAAAGATATTGTGTTCTAAATATATTCTACACGTTGTATTGCAAAGCTGATCTTTGTTTTGATTTTTGATTACTGGATAATCTGAAGCAACAGAGATTGTTGTCTGTATTTTTTAACTAACTATAAATATTTTTAAAATAAATATTTTTTTTTATTTTTTTATTTATTCATGATATTTACAACTATATTAAAAAATTAAATACATTAAGTAAATTTGATAACAGAAATAATAACAAGAAATGACTTGTTGAGAAACTACCCACTGGTAGCACTCTAAAAACAAAATGTATTTACAATAAGAGATCTCGAGGCCATCTTCTTTTCAGACGCCTCGGACGGTTATCAGGAATAGAAGAGGAAGCAAGGTTAGAGACGAGAGGATTCGGATGGTTCTGAAGTTTATTATGGAAGGATTGGTATCTGGATTGGGCCAAATCGGAAACATGAGGAACATTAAGGTCATTGAGGATTTTCCGAAGGATTTTGGATTGTAAGGATTGGATACGAGAGGAATTCGATGGCTTAGTGGAGCCCCAAAGCTCAACTCCGTAAGTCCAAATAGGTCTTATTGTAGTCATGTATTTAAGTCTTTTGTAATTAACTGGAAGCTTAGAGCGTTTGTCTACTAAGTGTTGGAGTAGTCGGAAACGTCGAGCGGTTTCTTGTCGTTTCAGTCTGGTATGAGGATTCCAAGTTAGACGTTTGTCCAAGTGAAGTCCAAGGTATCGGATTTGTTCAACAGGGATAAGTGGGGCATTATTAAAGGATACTGTGGGACATGAGGTCATAAGTTTACGTCGAAGGGTAAAGGTGATTTGATGGGATTTATTAGAATTTATAAAATAAATATTCAGGCAATATCAGTAATTACCTTTTATTTATTTTTCTTTAAGAGACAAGAAAAGTAGTGTTACATTTAATCCCTACATCTATTATTACAGTAAGGCTCGAAATCGGGTTTGTACCAAATATAAGCTCCTATCATACTCAAATACAATGAATGGGGTACCGTTGGATTCAGAATTTCACGGGTGGTTAGCGAATTATATTCTCCACTTTTGTTTCTCTTTATAAAATAAATAAAGTCGATACAAAAATTTTGCTAGGCTTCGATTCTGGAACGGTGGTAGGTCTGTAGATCAACACGGGACAAATTGGACCTTGAAGATTTTGATGCGTGCAGCAAGACCCAGATAGTTTCTCCGGAACTATCGGATCCTGCGTTTTTAAGCCCTAAGACGTAATATTTTCGAGATAACGCAAGGCTTATCATTGAATACATGTCTCATCTCGTCTACTCGAGGCCTCTATGATCGAGAGAGGAGGAGTTTATATTATTTATCGATGGTGTTTTTGATCGGCTAGCCATATCATCGTTAATTCTTCACCAAATCTCAAGATTGAACCACCAATTTCGAAGGCTTTCTTCTCCTTCAGGTTTATTTGCGAATAACTAAAAAAATACACACTTTTCAGTTATGGTTATACCCGTGATTATATAAAATATTACTAAATTCCCAACAAAAGGAAAACATGTTGGTTCCAAACATTAATGAAGATTTAAATTAATTTTTGTTTCCTTTGTCGATTATATTTGGTGATAATGTAAAAATTGATTTCTTTATCTTTTGATACGTTGCATTATTCTATTTTCTTATTAATTTGGCATTTGATAACAATATGCTGTGCGAATTTTTCGCACGGGCCTACTATTATATAACTATTTGGAAAGTATAAACCATTGGCAATTATTTGTAGTGTTTTTATTTATAATTGTACAGATGAAAATTATAATCGATATAGTTGGTATATTAATCGATAGCGTGTAGAATCGATGGTGAAGCCTGGTGGCCAGCTGGCGGGGGCCCACCCAGGGCGCTGGCACTCCCACAGCCTCCTGCCTCCGGAACTTGGGCTTTTTGTCGGCCTAGATCTAGGAGGCTTTTTGCCGGTGACCTTTCTGTTCTGTACGAGAGTTCAAAGAGTCCTCAGATTATGGATGAGTAAGGACAGTGGATGCTATCATCTGAGTAGGAGAACTGAACAAGTAATAACCGGTTTACTCTAAAGCTCTCTGCAATAAGAATAACTGAGTTTTAAGAAAATTTTGAAAGGGAACCCTAAATTAAGAATAAAAAAATTAATAAAAATATATATTTAAACAGACAACAAGTCCAAACGCCGAAAAATAATTGAATTATATAAAAACCATTAAGAAAATAACTTATGTATTTAAACGTAAAGAAAATAATTTTACATGTGCTGAAATCATGTTTATTTTAATTATTATTTTGAGGTTAGTGGAGAATCAGGTTCCTCATTTCCAATCCAGCAACAATTTTTAAAGTGAAAACTTCTTTAGTTTTGCACTTTTTTTTTTTGTAGAGAGTGAATTAGATTGAGCCGTCAGATTTACGGTGTACAACGCTCGGGTAAAGTCGGCTGGAGCTGAAATGTTTTTTGCATATGGATTAATATATCTCAGAAACTAAAAATCGGAACTGCATACTGTAAGCGAGGAATCGCTCAGCATTTCTTCCTCTCTATAATGGGATATTATTCAGAATTGTATCTTAATGCGACACCTTGTAAGAGAGGCGAAAAGAGACAAATTGTGTCGAAAACCAAATGATAACGAGTTTCATTGACGATATGGATTAAAATATTTCAGAAACTAAAAATTCGGACCTACATACTGTAAGTGAGGGAAATGTTCAGCATTTCATCCTCTTTATAATGAGCTATTATTTGTAATTTATGTTATATATTATTAATCTCGCCTTAACGATGTTGTTCACTTATATCACTTACCCCGTATGCCAGAAATGGCCAGGAAGGGAAAAAAAAAAAAAAATTCACTTATATCGTGTGGTCTGAAGCACACACCTTAGTTTTTTTTTCATTACATTGACTATTCAAGATTTTTACTGTCTCATTGACATTTCACCTTCTTTTCATAAAACTACCTATCAAAATTTACGCGGATATCGAGCATATCGAGATAAAATGGAAACGGTATTCTATCGCGTTAATTTCAGTTATTAACAGCTGATAAATATTAAGGAATAATAGTTCTCCGCTAGATTTAAATTTTGTTTCTTTATTTTCCTACTCGAGCCTATCACAGACGAAAGTGACAATAAGCAAATGTGCTGGCGAGCTAATGGCATTTCAAGTATGGGAAAGGATAAGTTAGTACCCACACTAATAAGAGAAAATAAATATCATTAGAGTTAAAAAAATAATTACTAACGTAGTTAAGATTTTCATCTAGCTGTATTTATCACAAATAAACTAAATTGAAATATAATTTTCCTAAGTATTTCTAGCTATATTAACTTTTTTTTTAATATTTTAATATTTTTTTTTTTTAAATTAATATTAAATGTTTTTTTAAAGAAAGAGATGGCAGTGATAACAAAAAAACTGAAATAGTTGAAACTATTTTATAAATGGTTTTTATTTATATTACAAGCTCCTCCTTGATAATGGTCTAATAAAGTGACGTCGAAGATGGCAATAAATAATTTTAATACAAAAAGAACAAATTTAATTATTATTATTTAAAAGAAACAAACTGAAGTACTGCTATTCGAAAACATTAGGTAAAGTTATCTTAACTTCACATACCAACTAAATAGGAGGAAGGGCTTCTAGAATCACGAGAAAGCCACGGATACTTAAAAAAAAAAAGACTAGGTATTCTACATAGTGCCAAGAAGATGTAAAATTATTTTTAGGCAGAGTTAATAGGCTTTAATAACACTTTAAGATTCACTGAGTATTAACTTATACAGAAGGCAGAAAGTTAAGCCAGCCGCGGAAGGTTTTAACTGCAAATCGAAGAGCGAAGATCCGGGAAGCGATAGCAGCTAACAGAAATTAGCAAGCTGTGTCTCCTTCTAGCTTAACAGTTATCCTAAAGACTTCTACACACAAAGGTGATATGTCCGGACGATAGGATATCCTTTTGTCATTATCGCTGCGGATTACCGCGTTCTGTGTGACTGCTATAATGCAATAGATACAACTACTAGTAATACACACAACTGTATCGCCATATCGCCGCCGACAGCAATATTATTCGCCATTGGAATTAAAAGTATCTGGACAGAAGGCGTCATAAGTTTAACGTTTTTAAAGTAATATTTTTAACGACTATGGTATGTATTACACTATTTTAAGAAAACTTTCAGTCCTCTAGTGTAGGGATATCGAAAAAAACATCTATATATAAAGTTTCGACTGTTATATTATAATTAATAATATAATTCCAATCCACTTACTGAAGCTCTATCTACTGCCACAAACCCTTATAATCCGAACAGAAGACTGAGGCGCTGGACTTTTTTTTTTGTGTGTGTTATTATGTTATCATATATGTGTTGTTATACTACTGTTTTTTTTTTTTTTTTTTTTTTTTTTGTCTTTTTGTTTTATTATTACTATTCTTTTTTCTCATGCTATCATTTCTTCTTCTTGATGTCATACATATTTGCTGAATACCGAGGTTGATGGCAAATTTATTGTGAGCCAGGAATATGTAGAATTAATAAATAAAATAAATAAATAATAATTCGATATAACGGGCCTTGATATTTTTAATCTTTAAAGATTGAGAATGTAAATACCGAAATATTAATAAAAAATACCGAAATTTTGCGTCTCAATGTTTTTGATCTTTAAAGAGTAAATTGATATATTGGAAATGATTTAAACAACCGAAAAAGGTGTTTTTTTTTTTTTATTTGCTTATTTATGTAGAAAATAATTAGGCTCTTTTTATTATGTTTAGGAGGAAATTATAAAAAAATAAAGGTGCATGGTAAATTAGCACGTAGGTGATTAGCATAAAGTTAGTTATTTGATATAGAAGGAAGGGAGAGAGGGGACGTAAAAGAAGCTTGTATTGGGGCGCAGTCATCCTTAGGTACGCCACAGTCAAGACCGCTATTAATGTACACAATCTATAGCAATAAGGGCCAGTTGCACAATTCACGGTTTTAACCAACATTCACATATCTGAACTTAATCTACCAGTAACAGCTCAGCTCTGTTATCAGCACTTTCGGTCGTTGGTAAAAAGTTAAATCTAAAACAACATAAAGAAAGGAAGTAGGAGGTTACTAACAGGTTTTTCTACAGTTCTTTGTTGTGTGAGCTTCTCAATCTCAAGTGTTTTTTGTTTTTTTCGTTTAACGAAAGTTGAATTAATATGTGTTAATTAGTGTTATATATTAAAAAATGTTTATCTAAAAATTCATCATCAGACCAATGGAGAATCCGAGGACGATATACTTTTTTCACTATTGGTAAAAACGCAATTAAATCGAGCAAATACTCGTCATCTGTGAGTTCGTCAAAATCTAGCATATCCATTTTTGCAAGAGAAAGGATAAATACAAATTATTAACACAATCGATAAAGCAAAAACACCATGGAAGGTTACTATAGTTGCCAAGGGTAACCTTAGGTAACTAAGTTTTTACTTGGAAGTAAAGCTGAAGCGCCCAAGATCGACAGATTAAGATTAAACTCAATTGCGAAGCTGAGCTTTCTTTAAGCGACGGGTGAAACTAGGTCTAATCTTAGATAACGCTTAATCTAAGCTTTACTGTGTTAAAGCAACTGACCCAAAATAGTATCTGTTTACAACTATAACTAGTATAGGAAACAAAACACTGCAAAAAAACAAAAACTATTTTTGTTATATGTATTTTGGACTAACATAAAAATCAAATATGCAGTCCTTGATTGACTAATTGACTTATTTAATAACTGTTATAGACTAAATTTCGAAGAGATTCCGCCAAATAAGAACACAGAAAACTACTTCCAAGAGACGTTAACTAACTGTGAGAGTTGGTTATTAAAAAATAAAACAAAAAGGTTCTGATAAAAAAAAAAAATCTGACTGTTCTATGTAACAGCTCTTAACTGCATCATAAAAAAAAACCCATGAGTATCCACATGGCCTGTTACGAACCCTGCTCTAAACTGGACTACAATAAAGAAATATGATGACCTTCACAATATTTCTATGCAAATGGGAACCTTAATATTGAATACAATGTGCAATCCAATGGTAAGTTGGGTGGTCCTACCTAATGTATAATTTATGAATAACAAATTTCTTAAGGAAAAATAAGATAGGAGGTGCAAGGATTTTCGCATTTGGTACAAGATCTAAGTCGAAGTCGAAAAAATCTTTTAATCACAGACCGTTTACAACGTTCATCCTCAGCATTTAATTTGGACTATCTGTCAACTCAAATCAGGAGCGTTTCAAAATTTATTTCTGAGGATGGTTTTTTTTACATGAAACATCAGTTCACCCCCAAGCAACCTTGGTCTGCCGAAGATGGGCGGCAGAGAAAATTCAAAACCCACATTTTTTTTCCGAATTGTGTACTTTTGAAAAAATCTAGAATAGTTTTTCCTACAAACATAATTATCGTAAACTAATTTGTAGTGCATTCTATCAGCTTCAATATGAGCTCTGAAAGAGCTTATTTACGTTTAATAGTTCCAGAGAAACGATCCTTTAAAAGTCAATGCTTTAAAAAAAAAAAAATCGAGAAATCACAATTTCGGAATTTTATTTTAACTAATATCACAGAAACTGAATTTCCTTGGTGTTAATAATAATAATTATTTATAATATTTGCCATGATATTTGCTCAAATAAAATCATAAAATGATATTTCTAGTGTTTAAAAAAAGTTAATTTTTTAAAGATCAATTCTCATAAATTATTGAAAAAAAAATAGCTATGTCAGGACTCACATTTAAACTGATAAAATGCACTACAAAATATTTCAAGATAATTATCTCCGTAGAAATAGCGCTTTTCTAGATAATGTACAAAAATGAACATTACATGACTAAGATCGGGCGGGAAAAAAAAAAAATAAATAAATAAAAGTCTGCCACGCAAGGTCAGTATAGCTTCCTCACCAAATTCACCGATATTCTCCATCAGTTAGAACAAAAATAATTCAAGAAGAAATATAAGAAAATGAATGAAGTTAACAAAATACAGGAAATTACGGCCTATACATATTTAAA